AAGTTATTTTATACGGTGTGAGTGTGAAAGACAAGAAGATACACACGTACATGCACACTCACCCACACCTAACCAAAAAAATCCAAAAAGAAAACACTAATATACCATTTCATTAAATGTCATTAGTGAATTTTGAATTTTTCAGTAATATTGCATCATCGATAGTGACATGTAGTTTTATTGAAAAAAAAGAAGTATTTCCGATACAGTGTTTTTTTACTAAGTCTACTTTTCATGAGTCTTCTCATTTTATTCGCCTCTCATCGAGTGATTGGTTTCTTTCCAAATATGCAACGACAATCATTATTCGGTGGCCGACCAAAATTCATACAGTAGCCGCCAGTTACAAAACAACCACCATCATTGCATCCACCCCAACCACTTGACCAACAGCTTCCACTGACTAAGATCATGGAAGTGCAAAAAATGAAAATCATCAGGAGAAACAATATTTTTCCTGTCGACATCAACATATTCAGCCTAAAAAAATGATATCGAAGATAGAAATATAATATTTATATGTCGTGCTTAAGTTATACTATTCGCCAAGTTAGTATCCTTGGTAACACATATTACAAAAGTGATCACTTTGATAAACGGTGAAACTTAGATATGACGTGTGCAAAGTTTACCTTATGTAGGTTAGAAGGAAATACAGTTAATTGTAGAGTATAAAATACTGAGCAAGATGCGTAAAAGCTGCCCTTTTATATAATCAATAAAACAATGAAAATTTTATTCGGGGTGTGGGTGGGTGTGGGGTGTGGGTGTGGGGTGTGGGTGTGGGGTGTGGGTGTGGGTGGTGTGGATCTCGGTATCGCAGTTTTCTCAATTCGCACCCACACTCACACCCCACACCCACACCCACACCCTCAAGGTTACTCATTAGATTTTTCTATTTTTTTGGATTAGAGTATTTTCATTGTTAACTTGAACAGATAATGCTTTGAAACATGAACGACACAATAGTTTATATATTTTGTTTCTAAAATAAGTATCCATTATTATCATAAGTACTTAGGGTGTGGGTGTGTGGGTGTGGGTGTGGGTGTGGGGGCGGGTGTGCGTATGGACAAAGATGGGAAGGACCCGCACCTACACCCCGCATCTACACCCCACACCCACACCCATACCCACACCCTGTTCTGTATGTTTGTTGAATTTCTTGAATATCTAGAATTGCTTTCTGTGTCTTGAATTGCTTCATTTTCTCGAATTTCGTTGAATTTCCATAATTCCATCAGACATTAGGCTCATGACTGGTCCTGTTCTGTATGTTTGTTGAATTCCTTGAATCTGTGGAATTGCTTTCAGTCTCTTGAATTGCTATATTTTCTCGAATTTCGTTGAATTTCCGTAATTCCATCAGACATTATGATCATGACTGATCCTGTTCTGTATGTTTGTTGAATTCCTTGAATCTCTAGAATTGCTTTCAGTCTCTTGAATTGCTTCGTTTTCTCGAATTTGCCAGAATTCTATCGTAGTTAAAGCTTGTAACCTAATATCTTATGTACGCCTGTTGGGTTGGTTGATTTTCTCGAATTTCCTTGAATTGCGAATTCGTGGATCCTAGGGGTATCTCGCAGTCAGATATTGTTTTAGTCAAAAACAATATAAATATTACTTTTTCACAAAGTTCATAAAAGATGAATCAGTCGTCAATTACGAATTGTTTCGAAAATTCACCAGTTGTAATAAAACTGTATCCTAATTTTAAATAGTCTATTATTTGAAAATGCACATCACTGTTTGAAAAGATTGAAACAAAAAAAAGAACACATCCTATTGTGCGGATGACAGAAAAATATATTTATTTACTTACGCTACTAAAATAACAATCGTCTACTATATGTTAGATTACATTTTTCGATTCTTTTTTCTAACTTCTTGGAACAAAAAAAACATTTTATACGATTGATTTTTTGTCAGAAAAATTGCTTAGCTCATTCTTGTTGAAATCAGACAGTTAAAATTCAAGTAAACGAATATAATTTCGTTATTAGAAATTTCATCTATTTCAATCATTATTCTTATACAAAAATAGATTCAAAGCAAAAATATTCTTTTTACTTAAATTTTTATTCTATTCTATTTGTAGCATAAAAGAATTATCTACAAATTTTCTAAATGATTTATATTCATTGTATTTGAAAGATTAGATTTATTTTCATAGTTTGGATGACGTATATGTTTATGTAGAAAAATTCCAGAAATAGAGTTTCCTTTCTGTTTACATCGAATGGAAATTCTTATTATTTTGTAATTAGGTTTGAAAAGGATTTCCTTCTATTATCAATATTTCGAAAAATTACATAAATACAATTCGTTATAATGGATAAATTACTTATTTAAATTCATCTCTTCCACATTGACTCCGTAATCAATCATGTATTCAACATAGTAAATAAAAATTGTCTCCAAGTAATAAAAAGCAGTGAAAAAAAACAATTTTTTTTCTAACTTAATTTCTGTTCTATTGATTTTGAAATGTTCTAGATGTAGGTTGTCGCGATCATAAACACCATTGAATTGAATAGTGATCACAGAAAAAGTCTGTCTTTTTTCTCTTTTAAACAATACAAACGTGCAAAGTACTTTTTTCATAAAAGAATTTATGATCCTTTTCAAAACAATCATTTTATTAAACTTTCATTATGAAGATAATTTAAAGAATACATTCTCATACAACTCTGTTTATTATATTTCACTCATGAATCTTTTTCAACGATAAGTTTGTTCGTCTAACAAAAAAGAAAGTTCAGTTTTCTAAATAATTATGTGCCGCTATATAATTATCGAATACAATCAAATCATTTTCTTAAATAAAAGAAGTCAATAAGAACGTAAATTTTAAAATATTATCATCTTTATTTTTATTGGCACTGCGATAGCGTGAAAATGGTAAGAGCAGTAGCTGACTCGTCATACTACTAGATCCACTAGTGTATCAATGAATGAATATCGCTGCATATCAATTATTAGATCAGGGCAAATGTTTTTGTTTTACGAGAAATTTCTGTGAGAACTATCTTTCTGTTTTAATTTTCTATGCCGTGAAAGAACTTCCTATGAACTTGTCTCTATGAAATCTGAACAATTGAAAGTATCATGATGTATTACTTTAGAGTTGAAAAATTAAACATGTGCTTTGATATACTTTTACAGAAGATCTTTATCATCATGATATGTTAATAATACTTTCGTTTTTGATCAACGAAGATAAATTATGAAATGTGAAGGAAATGTTTTGAGAAAGTACATTTTTGTTTATTTATATACTAATTAAATAAGGTTGTTTTTGCCTTTTGAAGGAAGGGGTGGGTGTGTGGGTTTGGGTGTGGGTGTGGATCTCGGTATCGCAGTTGTTTTCTTAATTCGCACCCACATCCACACCCTTTATTTTTTCACGCAAACTTGTATATAGAAGAAGCAGTTCAAATGTAAAGCAATATTTAATTGTGGAAGAAAACTATCCCTCGATATTCACTGCGTATTCAAGGCGTCATCAAAACATTGATTGTAACACGGTGAATTTTTGTCGCCGTAATGGTAGTGAACTAAAATTAAAAAAACAGGATACTCAGTTCGGATGAATGCGTTTGCCAAATGAAACTCACCATCCTCATCATGCACTAAAGAGCATCGCCAACAAAAGGCAGTTCCACACTGAGTACATTTCATAGCATTACAGCCAGCATATTTTTCAATAAGCGTTCGACATTTCGGGCAATGTTTGTAGGGTAATTTACCCAAGTTATATTTAAGAAGAGCCTTGTCTTTTCGTTCTCTTTCCATCTGTGAGTCTTGCTCGCATTTTACATCTATAGGATCAACTTTATAAAGTATAGAACATTTCTTGATGAGCAGATCGAAGAAATTAGTCGAAGGACATATTGCTGGACGAGAAATCTAAATGACAACCAGATAAAATATCATCTTTGCTATTAGGCTAAGGAATACTACTGAAATTGCTATGAAGATTAAACAACTGCAGACGTTTTTTCTTCGTCTAAAGTCAGTTTGATTATTAAGGGATGCGAATATGGGTGAGGATGAGAGACGCGTGCAATGCCACCATCCTCAAGTGGAAAACTTTTTCAGACCTCTTTTGAACTTATCTGAAGCGTTCACAATGACTGACTAGAGAACATATTTAGGTGTTCAAACCATTTAGACTCTATCTTTCGCCCATAAGTAGACGTCAAGGAAGTACGAAAAACTCAAAACTGATTTATGCTCTCGCGCCTTTATTCTCGAGATATCAAAATTTCAATAAATTTCCTTATATAAATTTTTCGAAATATCAATGTTTTTTTGATTAGAAATCTTAGGTTCTACAAGAAATAATTATCGAAAGTTAGATATCTCGAGAACAAAGTCGCGAGAGCATGAATCATTTTGAGGTTTTTATGCCTGATTGACGTCTACTTATGGCCAAAAGATGGAGTCTAAACAGCTTGAACATCCAAATATGTATTCTCGTGAGCCGCTTTTTATATTAATGATTACTTATGTATCACCAATTTCAATATTGCCGTAAAATCAGACCAGTCACTAGACCTGACCACACTTTTTTTCGATATATTGTGCCAGGTTGTTTTTCGGCTGTCGAATATCAATTGATGGTGGGGATGCGAATGGACTAGGCTAAGTCTTCTATGTACCGTCATTCGCTCCATTCATTTTTATTCTCTATTCAATGCTACTTATGCATGATCTCTATGATTTTCCCGTGCTATGTTATGAAAATTTTAAAAAAAGATGAAATTTGAAAATTTTGGTTGAGAGTTAGAGATTCAATCTATTTCTAAAATATGGCCGATCTCTGCCGAATACAGCCATATAATTAGAAATGTTCTATTATTGTCTGATTTTTCCAAAAAAAAATTTTTTTTCGACCAGTTGATCGAAAAGGATGGCATTTTAGGAAACCTACGGCCAAGCATTTAGATTGACAGTGTCCGCTACAGAGTAAAAAAGAGCGTGATCTTGAGCCTTTAAGTGCTCGTTAGTCTCAATACGAGATGTACCATTTTCGAATGAGATTGTTCATATGATCCGTCTAGTTCTTGTTGATCAATCATTTGTAAATAGATAACAGGAATGTTATTCATTCGATCCAATTTTTCAATTGATTGAATACGGAATAAACTACCCATAGCAAATAAAACTTCCTCTTCATCTCTATAGGCCGAAAAACTTGAAATATTTGCATATGGCCGTTTATGTTGAACATGTGACTTTGTCTCAATGCAAAATACAATTGGAACAAAATCAATATTGTTCCAAGATCCATTTGCAAATGCAAGAGCTATTTGTAATGATGCAGTTGTAGATAAAAATGTGTTTATTGATATAATATGACCCTGAAGTTGTTTAAAATATTCGAATTCTGTTTTTGATACTAGTTGACCACGATAAAGTTTTTCGAATTTTTGTGTATTATATAATGCATATGTTTGTTTATAAAGATCATCAAGTTGCACATAAAGATCAGTGAGAAAATATCGTAATTTGAACATCATTTGAACATCACTCAATCGCAGTACTTTATTAATTAAACGAAATAAAAATGAATCACGAGTATACCATTGAATAGCACTATTGGAATGATAGGTTTGTGCGAATATGTCAATTTCAGCGAGAGTCGCCTCATTATCACTATATACACGACGAAATTCTTCAATCATTACAGCACGTGCTTCATCTGTGTGCGGTAGACAAAGAAGAGTGTCTATTGTACGTTGATGAGCCATAAACTCATGAGGTTGTTTTGGATTATAAACAATGATTGATATAGAAATCAATGTTTGATCATCGATTGGCTTCAAAGAAGTCTAAAGATCAATATTAATTAGACATATGACATAATAAATTATATCTTTTTAAACGTTTTATTGTCTCATCTAGAGACTACAAATGGGTTTTGTCGTAAAATTGTGGTCACTTATGAGTAGAGCCCTCCGGATAAACATTTTTTCTGTTGACCGGATCTAAATCCAGGTCACGGATTCGAAAATTTTGGGTCCGACGGACTCTTCTTACGGATTGGATGGTAGAGTCTGTCTGATACAAAGTTTTCGGATCTAATCAACAGCTTTTTGTTTCTATCCGAATCCACTGAACCCGAGTCCTATCCAAGAAACTTTACTGGTGAACACAAGAATATAATGAATCTTTCAAAAGAACCAATGGATATTTTGTAAGTGATCAAATCGCATTTACTCACGCTTTTTTCCGATGTTATTTCTAACATTGATTGCTCTTCACTATTCTCTTCATACTGTGGCTGATATACTTGTTCGAAATCTGGTTTCAATTTTTCTCCTAATGTCAAAGAATCATTAAAAACTCCTCGTATTTGTCGATAATATTTTGTCCAGTTTCCTTGTAAACCAAGTTGAGAACAATAAATATAAACATATCGAATTGCTGCCATCAAACGATAAGCTGTAAGAAATAATTCATAACCTAGTGCACCTGATGCAATAAGAAAGATTTCATTTTGTTCACGTAATTGATTTTCAATATATGGTATACATTGTAATAAATTATCAAAAAAATGCCATTGATATGGTTCAATTATTTGATCAAGATAATTATTCGATGAATTTAGAATTTCATCAAGCCAAATACATGATAATCCTTTGGATTTTGTCTTTTGGTGATAATCAAAAGACGATGGGTTTTGAACAATACATTTTGAATAAGCTACAACTGCTAGAATTTTATGATTTGCAGTTTTATTTTTTTCTTGAATAGACAATTTAGGCTATTTAAAAAGAATTTTCAATAATCGCTTGATGTCAAAGAAATTTTCTTTTACCTCTATATGAAGAAATCCTTCGCGTACACACCTATCGTACCATTCAAATATTTCTGATGTTACTTCAAATTGACGATGGCTGAGTGTTTTATAAGCTCGGCAAAGAGCTGATTGAAATCGAAGATGTTTATTTAATTCAGTTAAATTAATTGGAGCTATTCGTTTAATTTGCCATTTTTCTCCAAATAAAGATCTAAAATTCCATTTGATTTCATCATTAATATATTCATTTTCAACAAAACTACACCAATTATCTTCATCTTCCATGACATGTGTTTCAGAACTTATCATTAAACTACTCCATTCACTGGAAATACATTCATCGTTACCATATAAATATAATCGTAACGGTGATAGTTTTTTAATTAGTTCACAGATATACAGTGGATGTTCATAATTAAACAGTGCTTGACTATATGGAAGAAGACATGGTTTTTCTTCGTTACTTGAAGGAATATAATTGTCAAGTATTCGAATGATTACAGATGGATAGCCCAAATTGATGCCTATAATTACAAGTCATAATTTATCAATTACTTTTTGGCCTGGAAAATGAACACGCGAAATAAGAACATTGGTTGTTACATTTTAGATCCAGTTTAACATTTTCTAGACAGTCATACTTCATATGAAAGCAGAAAGTGTACAGATACCTTTCGATTATCAAGACTGAGATAACCATACAAATGTGTATTCTAAGAGAAACCACTTGTAATAACCCACTGCACATACGACGAACACAATAACTAATATACCCCTGGGCAAAAGTTCCCCCCTCCCTCCGCGTCTTCTTGTCAAGTATGTCATTGCAAAAAAGAAAAGTTTGAATATTCCTGTCATATTTTGACCAATGAGGTGGTATCTTTATCACTGATAGAGAAATGTTCATATCTCATATTCATAAGTGAAACGTTATCAAAAATTGTTTTGAACTATCATACTTGGTCTCCACAAAGGCCGATAATCACTTACAATCTTGCTTTTTCATGGCCCCCGTAGGACTACAGAACTTTGTTGAAGTCAGATATGATACTTTAAACCATTTTTTATTAACATTTCTCTGACGAATATGAGATATGAACACTTCTCTATCAGTGGTAAAAATATCCCTGCATTTTGTCAAAATGTGACAGAAATATTCAAATTTTTATTTTTTTTTCAACGACATACGGGGCGAGAAGAAAGAGAGAAAAGATTTTTGTTCAAGGGTGTAAGTCTCGGTTGCATGAAACACGAACTAACAGAAGTAGTGAAGTGTAGGGAGTTAGAAATAGTGAACTTCGTCCTTCCCACAGATCAGAGATGGAATCGGTACCAGTTACCAGATCGGCAGGACCGGTTCGGTAGGGATTTCAGACAGACGGGTCAATCTTGGGTGTGGGTGGGTGGATGTGTGGCTGTGGCTGTGAGTTTGGAGATAGGTATGGGTGTGGATGTGGATAAGTCCAACGTGAAACACCCACACCCAAACGTACACAGACCACACCACAAACCCACACACTCCACCCACACCCTTTTTCTCAAAACGTTTTCCATAAGAAGGATCGTGCTAACGGTTTTCTCATATAATTTGTATTTTTCTATTCATACTCACAAAGCTTCTGTACTCGCTCCTTGGCACTGTGCAAATTTTCTCGACTGCAGTTCAATGGAATGAGTAGAATGTGGCATGGTTTAGCCTAAATAGGGCAAGTTAAAAAAAAATGGAAGTATGATTAATCAATAATAGTATACTTTAACAAATGACATAGCCCATTCTTTCAGCAACCGTGCTTGACGATAATAGATTTTTACTAAATCTAATCGCTCTAGTTTTGTTTGTTTTTCGCCCTCAATAGTAAGAAAATGCACAATGTCTGCTGTTAAATCAAGTGTAAATTGTTGCAATTGCTTATTAATAAGTCGATGTAATTTCGGACGACTTGATGTACAATTCGAGCCATCTTGACGGTAGATGACTTGAACACGATGATTACTTTCTAAATGTTCAAGAACTTCATCTCTGACTGCTTCCAGAAGTATTACAAAATATCGCTGTAAACATGTGTCGGACAATTGTGGATCAGAAGTAGTAAGATCTTCAAGCGTTACTTCGTCAATTGCGAGCACGAAGGACACTGGCAGTCGTAAATTCATTGTTGAAATACTTTTGTTTGAGCCATAAAGGACAACAATCGGTTCAAAAGACGTCATATGTAATACTTTTTTCAGCTATCGAAAATTCAAACGTCTGTGTTTTTTCTTTCAATACAATTGAAATGAATTAAAGAAACAATAGGCACTTTTTAAAGGGTGCATAGTAACAACGGAAGTAGAAGGAAGACAAAACAAAAAAACTGAGTCGAAGTTGGAAAAAATGCAAGTTATTTTAAAGCCACATATTCTCTGAATATAAGCGCATGTCTCTACTAAAGAAGTAAGTAGTGCACAAATAGAAAGGTGTGGGTGTGAAGTGTGGATATTTGTGTCGACTTGAAGAAAACTCACACCCATACCCTCGATTTTTATATTAATATAAGCCAGAAGAATATCAATCAAGCTATTAACAGTAAGTTAAAAAACAATTATTAGAATTAATTATTTATGCCATGTTCTTCTTAGAAAAGCACACAAGAATGAATCAACCAATGTCAGAAAGAAAAAACAAAGATTAAAATTTAAAATATTATGTTTTATTTTTTATTAATGATTGGGGATGTGTGGATGTGGATGTGGGTGGGTGTGGGTGGAGGGTGTGGGGGTGTGGGGGGGGGGGGGGGGGGGTGTGGGTGTGGGTGGGGGGGGGTGTGGGTGTGGGTGTGGGTGTGGGTGGGTGTGGGTGTGGGTGTGGGTGTG